CGCACCCCAGACTCTTGTCCTTGGCTGTTTTCAGACACCTCTCAGTTTATTCTCCACCATTTTGCTCTTACTCCTCTCTTTCCTTGTTGCTTTGTTTTCTGGTCCTGGGTCACATCTTCAGTAGCTGCTTTTGGTCACTTTGGTGTGCTGATCCTTGAATTGACTTTTGGGTCATGGTTTTCCACTTAACTTACAACTCTTCTCTCTGATTTTTTGGATCCTTCTTTCAGCTCCCTGTGTCAGCTGCTGAGTAAGGAAATTTGTCTGCTCCAGCCCTGGCCCCGGGTTGCCTTCCTGTCTTCAAGAAGCAGGGTGGGGTGACATGGGGGAATTATTTATTTATTTTGTTTTTTCTAAGGGACATGGGCACCTTAGCCACCCTCAGTTGCACTCCCCAGAGGCATCCAGTGTCACCAGTTTCTCAAGGAGGCAATATGGTTACCTCTAAAGTAGCAAGAGTCATGAAACTTTTTCAGAGCTATAACATCCAAAGCCCATTCTCCTAGCAGCTGTATTTTCCCTGGCAGGAGAAGCTCCACCTAACCACAGGAGATCAAGCCTGGCTTTCTGTGGGATGTCAGTAGGAGAGCTGGCCATCTGCAAGCTTTCTGAAGCTTAACACCATCGGTCAATGACTCTGTTCGGCTTTCAGGTTGATCTTTATCCCCGCCCCCACGTTCATTCTAATTCAAAGTCCACAAGGAATGTTTTATGCCACAGTTGAGAGTCTAAGAGGAATACATGCCTTCCGGGGCAGATCATCCTAACACTGATTTTATGCAATTCTCCCCTTCCATCACCCCACCCTACCTTGCTTCATTTGCCCCACTAGTAATGATCAAAAAGAGAAAGAATAAAATGTTCACCAAATCTGTGACTTAGAAAAACTTGTGGAGGGTTCTGCTCTCTTCTGAATTCTGATCCTCACTGAGTCCTCATTGAAGTGTTATCATTTGGGGAAAAATGTTTACCTGGGGCCTCCTTCCCAGAACCTTTTTTTCAGATCAATTTTTTCGTCAAAGTCTAGACTTGCCTTTGGAAATGCCTGGATAAATCTGGATGCTAAATGACTTGAGGACACCTGATAAAGGAATGGGGTACTATTGGGAAATTGTCTGTCATTGCATTACAAATGTTGCTCAGCCTCCCTGCTATTTGCAGACATCATCACCAGCGAGTTTCGCTGGGCTCTTTGGGATTGGGTCTCAGCAGGGTCCCATGTGACTCAATAAGAGCCTACCTTTGCTACTAAACTGTGTATGTTACCCTGCATTCTCCAATTGCTTCTTCTTCAATCAGCCCACCCAGATTTTACTAGGCGTTTATATCTTTTCTGAGGTAACCATCATGTATTTATGTTCTAGAGTGTCCCCCTTATCAGATCCTTGCAAATACTGTCCTAGTGTATCACCCCTTTCCCAGTATGAATATCTGGAAACAAAAAATCTATAGTGGGGAGCTCCAGTGGGTCCCCTCCAAGGACTCACTTGGGCATAGTCCAGTGGTCAACAGACTTGTGTAAAGGAGTCTTTATGGGCCATATGGTCTCTTTTGCCACTAAACATTTTAGTGCAAAAGCAGACATAGTTAATACAGAAACAGATGAGGACAGCTGTGTTCCAATAAAACTTTATAAGTGGATACTGGAATTTGAATGTTATATAGTTTTTACAAAATACTATTTTGATTTTTTTAAACCATTGAAAAATGTTAAAAAGAGGCCGGACACGGTGGCTCAGACCTGTAATTCCAGCACTTTGGGAGACCGAGGTGGGTGGATCACCTGAGGTCAGGAGTTCGAGACCAGCGTGGCTAACATGGTGAAACCTCGTCTCTACTAAAAATATAAAAATTAGCCAGGCGTGGTGGTGTGTGTCTGTAATCCCAGCTACCCGAGAGGCTGAGGCAGGAGAATCGCTTGAACCCGGGAGGCAGAGGCTGCAGTGATCCAAGATCTCACCACTGTACTTTAGCCTGGGCAACAAAGCAAGACTCCATCTCAAAAAAAAAAAAAAGACGTTCTTAGCTTTTAGGCCATAGAAAAACAGATGGCAGGATAGATTTGTCCCATGGACTATAGTTTGATATAACCCCCAGTCTAGTGTATATAGTGTGTATATAAAAATGACAGATGATTATTTTCCATCAATAACATTATTAATGCCACATTGATCTGGCAGTATCTGGCAATTTATTATGTAGAAATTGTGGGCCAGCCACGATGGCTCACGTCTGTAATCCTAGCACTTTGGGAGGCTGAGGCGGGCAGATTGCTTGGGGCCAGAAGTTCGAGACCAACCTGGGCCAACATGGTGAAACCCTGTCCCTACAAAAAAAATACAAAAATTAGCCTGGCATGGTGGCACGTGGCTGTAGTCCCAGCTACTTGCAGGGCTGAGGTAGGAGGATCACTTGAGCCCAGGAGGTCCAGGCTCCGGTGAGCCATGATTGTGCTACTGCACTACAGCCTGGGCGACAGAGTGAGACACTGTCTCAAACAAAAAAAAGGAAATTGTGGAATATTGGAGAGAATCTGTGGAGCCAGGAGAGTAAACTATAGCTGAATGATTGGCTATTTTACCTTGAAATATTCTGGTTCACAAAATAAATTTTGTGCTGTTTTTGACTAAAAATGATATTATAAAACCACCTATATTATTCCCATGTAAAATATCAAAACCAGTGTTGGCAACACTGAAACTAATGCCAAGCTGCAATCAACAATAATAGAATGAACTGAAGGTAGTCCCAAAAATGATTTGACCATGGGCAGCATTTGAATAAGCTTATGTTATCACCTATTAAAGTGTGTACTATGGAGATGACAAAACTCACTGAAATGTATTTTTTGCATGCTTGCAAATATACATAAGTATTACAGATACATATGTGTATTTGCACCTTGCACCTGGTGCTGAGATGTGTCCTTTTAGGTAAGTGTATATGTTTTTCCCCTAGAGATCTCTTTATTGTGTCACCTTTATTTAAACTGATTTTCCAAAGTTGTAATAGAATCTCAGTATTGAACAGACCATTACAAGAGTGTCTGATCTAGCCAGTCATGTTTCCTGTGAGTTCAGGAGTAACTAAACCCTACAGCTGCTGAAAGATTGCATCTGAAAGAAGATTCTGTGTTAATTCATTCAACAAAATTTATTGAGTGGTTGTATGTGCCAGATGCTGTCTTGTGTGCCGGGATACAGCAGTGGACAAAATAGACACAGGCCTTGGATTAGATGGTCTGAAATCTAATTATATTACTCTTCACTCTTGCAAAATTTCTATTCCGTGTGTGCACACTAACCCATTGTTAACTGCATACCTGGAAATAGGTATGACCATTGCCACATGCCTTTGTACTCTGGTCTTGATGCCTTTCCAGCTGCGTTAATAATTTGAGGACTGCATGTTTCATTTAAATTTTATTATCCTTTAGACAGATCTATATTGGTAGAAAAACACACTGGCAATGTTGGAAGTGTAGACTGGCAATGGTTTTCTGAAAAGCAATTTGGCAGTATCTATCAAGAGCTTTAAAAATGTTTAGATCCTCTGATCCTCTCATTCCACTTCTGGGAATCTGTCGTAAGCAATAGTCTAAAATGTGGGCAAAATCAATGCTTAACAATCTTAAAGTCCACCAGTAGAAAATTGGTTAAGTAAATTCAGTATGACTATCCAGTAGACTGTTGTGCCATCATTATAATTTATGTTTCTGAAGAGTATTTGACAGCATGGCAAAGTACTTGTAGTGTTAAGTGAAAAGAGTGATATACAAAATTGTATGTATAAATCCAGAAAATGTCTTTTAAAAAGACGGAAAGGATAGGCAAACTCTGGGTAGTTAGATTATGGTTTTTCCTGGTTTTATGCTTTAAAAAAAATTCTCCAGTATGTTATTACTTGTATTATCAGTAAAAATCAATAGCATCTAGAGCTGGCAGTGGAGAGATTGAGGCCAGATCACTAGTTTGGTCCCTGAACAATTAACTTGGCTGGGTGGACACAGAGGCTGTATGATCTTGTATTGGCAGCAAGGCTGGGCCAGAAGGGAAAAGGACCTGCCCAGGAGGAGAAGAGACCGTGTGACCATGTGACCATAACCCCTACAAAAAAACACAAAGTGTTAAGGGAAGACACCATGTGTGGCATGCTCTTGTGATGTAGTCCTAGGTAGGTAAAATACCATTTATGAACCAAATATATTCTGACAAGTAGAAAAGGATATGAATGCTCTCCTGGGTAAAATTAACCTCCTTTGCATTTCATTCTCACGTTCTCACACAAAATGAATGCT